ACTGATGAGGAATAATGGACAGAGCAGCCATCGAGTGTTAGTGTCACACAGATCTAACACTGAGCAGAAAACCACTCTTTAAAATCTAAACTGATGTGTGTAATCCGGTTACACAGACTTCATAATGTCTATTAGGCAGGTGATGCATGTGACTGGAGTATTAATACTCGCTGCTGCTCCAGAGTTCCGGTGGAAAGCGTGTAATATGCAGCCCAGCTTCATGAATATGAGTTATTAATTCTGAACCAGTTATGAACTTACTGAAAATGTCTGTTTTCTGAGCGTCCCAGAAACTCTGCAGCTCTCAGCATCAGCGGACGCGCGCTTTTCTACTGGAAATATTAATATTAATAAATAAAATCGTCCTGAAGTTTGGAATATGATCCCGTGCACGCCAGTCAGAGCACGCGCAAAAATCGGATGTGAATGATCTTTTAATTAATATTTATCTCGTAGTGATTGATCCCATTTAAAATCTAAAACCCCGATTATTGACTCTTAAATGCTGTTTTAGCTGCAGATTAAAAATGCATGCTATTATTGCCTTATACATGAAGCGAATTCTCACACATTTGCAGTAGCTACTACATTTAAGATGTTAATATTTTAGTGTGCGGTTTTGCAGAGAATATTTTTTAGTAATAATGATTCACGAATTTCTGTGAAAATATAAATGCTATGTGCATTAATAGCCTACTAAGAAATAAAGGCTTTTCAATGGATTTATTTGTAGGCGCCATATCGCCTGTTGCTGGTAAACATTGACGAGAATCAAACAATAATCAGTGGTTTTTATGATGCTTAGTGAATCAAAAACTCATATTTCGTTCTCTTCGTTACAAGCATTGATTGTTTCAAACATCAGATCTTATTTGGCGATGAATGAATTCAATTCTCTGACAGAATGATAATTATTAACATATTTTTATTAAGGTTATAATATAATTTTAGCGGTGATCATCTCAAATACAAATGCGTAAAACCCGCGCCTTCATAAAAACACTGACTTTATGTTATTTTTATTCTCTATATATAATATTGAAGACAATAGAAAATAAAGAAAAATAATGATTACAAGAATAGTTCATAATTAGAATAGAAGCGCTTTATTAAGTCACTCCGAGAACATCTTCAGGATCACAAACACATTCAATCTTGAACATTCATTCTTAATTATTTTTAAAACATTAAAAATATCTTACAGCATGATTAAAAAATATACAGAAAAGGTGTGTTTTTCCAGCATTTCCTTATTTTACTGACATGAGACACAAACACAGAAAGCCCGAGACTGACTGACTTTAGTGCGGCATTTAGACACATCTTTAGAGAAAAGAGAGAAAATCCGCCTGTTTCAGACTCATAATAATAATAATAA